CTTTCCTTTTTCACTCTGCAATAATTAATATAAAATATTGGCCCTGCACTGGACTCGGAGGTCCTACTTGGGGTGGAAAAATTGTTGGACGACCCTGCTGGGTTCTTGCAGTGGCCCAAAGTGCGTGGGAAGTGGTGTGTGTGTGGGGAGAATAGGAGGGGGGGGGGCGCGGAGTGCTGTGCTAGAGGGCAAAGTGAAGATCGATGGGTAGAGGGGGAGGGCTGTAGTTTGTAAGAGTACTGGCGTGGGGAGCAATGGGGGGCCTGGATGGGAGGACCGAAGGACTAATGGGTTGGGGCTTAGCAGGAGAAGGGGCTAGTGTAACTGCCTGGACCGCACCTACAAGCCTGCAGGCCAAGGAGGACAATCTGCAACTGGTTCCCTTGGACCCGATGACGATCAAACTCAGTTTGTGCCTGGAAGGTTCCGGTGGCGACTGGAGCCTATCGATCGTGCACTGCAGCCTCGCTCTGCGCCCATGCGACTCGGAGTCCTGTGGATACTCGGATACGATAAAAGAGGCCCTTGTGCGAGCTGCAGAGCCAACAGGGCTGGGGTGGGGGCGGAAGCGGTGTGGGAGGTGGGGAGCTGTAGGCCGGAGCTCCCGCCTAAGGTGTTCTCCCCCTACAGGTCACCCACCCGAGACGGCCCCGAGGAAGAAGCACCTGTTGGGTGGGCGCCGACATTCAGGCCTGCACGCAGGAGGTTCCCTGTGGAGCCCCTGGGAGTGCCCAACGGCGATTCCTGGCCTCCACTTCTGCGGGACCCTGGTGGGGAAAGGGTAGAAGAGGGATGGGGAGTGGGGTTTTTCGGAGGCTGCGTCTCTAGCTAAGCCTCTCTCTAAGGCTCCGAGAGGCTCCTCTGGAGCCGCGAGTTACCTGAGCTACCTGCGCTGCCAACTGTTCCGGAGCCACCAGCTTTCTCCTTCCTGCCCAAGTGAAAGCGAGGCTTCATGTCCTCTCAGAGAAGGTCGTCTGTCCAGTGACAGTCATTCCCCTGAGTGTTTTACACCAGGCCGGAAGAGAACTCAAGTTATTAAGACAAAATAAAACCCTTTAGATGGTGAAGCACTGGCAGCGTGTGATAAAACGTTCCCATCCGAAAGTGCTAACACCCAGGGTCCTAATCTTCACCACAGACTTCTTCGGGGCAGATAGCTCACCTCTAGGCGCTCCTGGCAGGCAGTTCGCAACGAAGGCGCCCCGGATCCGGGTCCTGCGGGGACACGCTGGTCGGCGCGGGGTAGGTGACCAGACTCGAGGCCACGCGGGGCGCCTCCCACAGTGAGGCAGAGTAGGCTCAGCAAGGTGGAAGTGAGAGCCGCGCACGCCACCCCCAGGAAGACCCGGGCCGCCGGTGCCACCGTTTAGCGCCCCCCATCACCCCGCAAGCTGTCGACTGGGACACTGGGGCCCTGAGGGAAGTCACCTGAGTGGGCCTATTCCCGGTGAAGAGGGGGGCTCAGGCCCTTCGTCCCCCGAGCGGATCAGCCCGGCCAGAATGCAGGCGGCCTCTAGCCTAATCATTTCGAGCTGATCTGGGGGGCGGGTCAGTGGCTGGATTGGGACAGGATGGCAGGGGTGGGGTAAGAAGAGGTGGCTAGGGCGGGAGTGGGGCTGGGAGTAC